GTGGGGCGAGTGGTCAATGCTGTGACATGCAGGTTAAACTCTTGTTTGCAGTGATGCCAGAGTTCCACATCAGAGCTGTGACGCTGCTCCGTTTCTGCCCCGGCTCCCTGTGCACAGAGAAGTCAGCAGATGATGGCCCAAGTGCTGTGCCACCCATGTGGGTGACCAGGATGGACCTCCTGGCTTCTGGCTTTGGTCCAGCCCAGCACTGGCTGTTGTGGCCACTTGGTGAATGAACGGATAGATGGTTCTCTTTCTCTCCCTCTTTTTCCCTATGCCTTAAAAAACAAACAGCAACAGCAAAAAACCTCTTTAAAAAGATGTTTATTGGGACTAAAAATCCTTTGAAATCCAAGTCTAGGTTTTCCCAGTGCACATTTTCATAAACTTTTGAAAGATCCCTTATACTAGTAAAAGCCAGCATGTTCCACGTGTCATGAAATGATTGCTCCCCAAGCAACCAAATGCTTTTGACACCCCATTTCCTAGCCCCACGCCCCTCCTTATCCAACACAGGTGATTTTGTGTCACTTCCTAACAAGGGCTGTCACCAGTAGCCCCGCTGCCACCAGAACCATTGGGAATTGAGTCTTCTTTTCAGACCCACTCTTGGGCACTACCAGCTTAGGGCCAATCAGCCTGGGTGGCTGTAAAGTGAGGTGCAAGGGATTTGTATGTGTGGACGTCCAGGGCATCCTCAAGTAGAGCTGGCTACTACAGCCAGGCTAGGCCAGCGAGGTTGGGCTCTGCAGGCGTGCAGGGGCTGGCAGGCTCTGAGGAGGCCCCGAGAGCCGTCTCTGCCCAAGACAGATCATGGATTGTCTTGCTCCTCGCGTTTCCTCCATCTGCATGTATTGATGTCATGTGATGGATAGGCTCGGCCTATCTTATTACTGGCATCTTATTTGATGTCACGCTTTCTCTCCTGCGTGCTTCCTTTGTTTGCGTCTTTTGCTCTACGGTGTGCGTGCGTGTTTTCTTCAGGCTACTTCACTGCACGGGTGGTAATTTAGCATGCTATTTCTCAGGGAACCAGCAGACTCTGTCAGGCCGAGACGTGTCAGATATGCAAAGATGTGAGCTGATGCATAAAACCTCGGATTCTGCACGCCGAGGCACTCTCCCTGTTTGCTTTGCTGCCACATGTTTGTGCCTGACACAGGATTCCTAATAAATTCTGATTTTTTTCCCCCAATGTCCATAAAAAAAAAAGGGGGGACCGGGATGGATGCTGTGTTTATAATTACAGACACAGATTTAGCAGGAACATTCTTAAGAGAACTTTGATTTTTATTTGCATTAATGAGCACCGAATCCTTTCGTTACAGTTGCAGCTGATGGCTGGAAGGATTTTCTACATAGTAGCTTCTCATTCTTTGTGTTACATCCCTTGTTCTCCCCTACCCCTTTTTAAAATAATGGTCTTATTTATCTATTTTCATTTTGAGAGGCAGAGACAAGACAAAGTGGTTTTCTACATTTATTGATTCATTCCCCAGATGCTCCCCACATCTGGGGCAGGAGTGGGAACTCCATCTGGGTCTCCCAGATAAGTGGCAAGGAGTCAAGTACTTGCGAATACACCAGCAGGCAGGGCAGCCAGGCCTTGGAGTGGGCACTCTGCCGCGGGAGGCAAGCGTGCCAGGAAGCACCTGCAGAGAAATGCCCAACACCAGCCCCAGCCTTGCTCTTCTTCAGGACCCACAGCATCGCAGTGCCAGTCCCTGCAGGGCTTGTTTAGCTGGGACGGAACCTCTGTCCTGCTCGTTCATGACACCTGCTCTGTGCCCCACTCCAGAACGGTCAGCAAAGGGCGGGAGGGTATTTTCTAGCCAAATGACTGGTTATAACTTGGTTGTAGGTGTTAAAGGTCACAGGCCACCCCTCACCCACGTATATCCCACTGTGCTGTCACCTGAGGCAGAGGAGACTTTGGGTGAGAAGGGAGAGTGCTCTCGGCTGACAGGAGCACATCAGCTGTACCTGGGGAGAGGTTACACAAGCACCTTTACCAACACAGTTTGGCACAGCAGCCATGACGCCACTGGGGAGACCCGTGCCACACACTGGAGAGTTTGTCCAGAGTCAGGGCTTTGCTCCTGATCCTAGATCCCAGGAAGCAATAGACTTGGCTCAAGTTGCTCCAAGTTGCTCCCTGTGGGAGACTCAGACTGAGTTCCTGGCTCCTGGCTTCGTTCTGACCCAACAGCAACTACCTGAGGAATGAACCAGAGGATGGGTGACCTGTCTCTCTCTCTTTCTACCTTGTGACCTTTCAAATAAATTGACTGATTTATTAAGATTAATCTAATTATTTTAAAAGCAATTACACACAGAGAGAAACAGAGAAAAGTAGACTTTTCCATCCCCTCGTTCACTCTCCAGATTGCCACAGTGGCTGCAAGGTTGGGCCACACTAAAGACAGGAACCAGGGGCTTTATCCAGTTCCCCTGCATGGGTGGTAGAGACCCGAGTAATTGGACCATTTTCTGCTGCTTTCCCGAACCATCAGCAAGGGATCTGATTTGGAAACAGAGCAATTGGAACCCACACAAGTGCCCTCATATAGGGTGCCATTGTGGGGGTAGTAGCTTTGCACACCAATTCTTGTGTCTTCTTTTCTCTCTCTCTCTTTTTTAAGATTTATTTTATATTCATTGGAAAGTCAGATATACAGAGAGAGGAAAGACAGAGAGGAAGATCTTCTGCCTGATGATTCACTCCCCAAGCAGCTGTAATGGCCAGAACTGAGCTGATCCAAAGCCAGGAGCTAGGAACCTCCTCCAGGTCTCCCACACGGGTGCAGGGTCCCAAGGCCTTGGATCATCCCCGACTGCCTTCTCAGGCCACAAGCACGGAGCTGGATGGGAAGCAGAGATGCTGAAATTAGAACTGGTACCCATATGGAATCCTGGTGCATGCAAGGCAAAGATTTTGACTGCTAGGCTACTGCATCGGGGCCCTCTTTTTCTTTTTTAAAGGGATTCATTTTATTTACTTGAAAGGAAGAATGACAGAGTGGGGAGAGATAAAGACATTTTCCATCTGCGTTCACCCCCAGATTGTCACAGCTGACTCTGGGTCAGGTTGAAGCCAGGAGCCAGGAACTCCATCCAGGTCCCCGATGTGGACCATCTTCTGATGTCTTCCCAGGTACATCAGCAGGACAGCCAGGACTCGAACTAATATGAGACGCTAGTGTTGCAAGAGGTAGTTTTTGCTGTTTCTCAATGCTGGCCCTTCAAATAAATTTCGAAGATAACTTTTAAAAATAAACTGAAACTTTTAAACAGCAACAACAGCTTAAAAGATAGTTTCATGATGAGGACATCCGCGTTGGCTGAATGGTGGAGACTGGTGGAGATGTGTAGACACCGCACACCTTGTGGTCTGTAATGCCACACGGAGACATGGACTACTTGCAAAACAGATGTAGAAAGTCCAACAAAGTCTTCTGATGTCCCCCATGATGGCTGACAGCTTTAGGAAACAAATGCGGACATCTTTCAAAAATGGTGCGTTTCAGGGGGCCGTGCAGCCTGTGATGGGGGTGCCTTCCAGGGGGTCAGTGGGCAGGCGGTGACTGGGAGGGGCCAGGACTGGGACCCGAGCACTCTGACACGCATGATACAGGCGTGCTAAGTGGCATCCTAACCCCTGCCTGATTCCACCTTCCTGCTAATGCACACCTGACAGGTGGCAGGTGATGCTCAGTCCTTGGGCCCCTGCCACCTAGGTGGGAGACCCAGAGTGAGTTCTGGACTCTTAGTTTTAGCCTGGCCCAGCCGCCCTGGCTGTAGCAGGCATCTGGCAAGCAAATCAGCAGGTGGGAGCTCTCTGTCCATCTCTCTCTGCTTTTCAAATGAATACAAACAGAGACTTTAAGAAAATAAGAAGTTGGGGCCTGGTCCTAGTGGCCAAAGTCCTTGGCTTGTATGCACCAGGATCCCACATGGGCATTGGTTCATATCCCAGCTGCTACACTTCCCATCCAGCTTCCTGCTAGTGGCCTGGGAAAGCAGTAGAGGATAGTCCAAAGCCTTGGCATCCTGCACCTGCATGGGAGACTCAAAAGAAGCTCCTTGCTTCAGGCATCGGATGGTCAGATGTGGTCAGTTCCGGCTTTGTGGCCATTTGGGAACCAGTGGATGGAAGATCTTTTTCTCCTTGTCTCTGTAAATCTGACTTTCCAATAAAATAAAAAATAAGATGGGTCTTCTAAAAAGAAATTACAGCAAAAGAACTTTCTATGATAATGAAAAGTTCTGTTTGCACTTTTTTTCTTTTTGCTACTGAACATGTAAAACATGGCCAAGAAGATGCGAGGAATTGAATTCTAAATCCAGCAAGAACGACCCCATCTAAAATGGGTCACCTCTCCCAGACAGCCCACCTGCTCCAGGGTCTGTGCACAAAAGAGCCAAATAAGAGCCAACACTGCTCAAGACCGCCCAACCCCAGCCCCAGCCGTGGAAACTCACCTGCAGAGATGGACCCAGGAGAGCAAGGGGCCCTGCGGGAGTTTGGTCGGGGACATTGAAGGGAGCAGGGGCAAAGCCAAGTTCAGGGCACTGTGTGCTCAGGTACCTTTACACCCCCTTTGACGCTGATTCAAAGCTTTTCAAGTGCAAGAGCCTGCACAGAGAGGGGCACAGAGACAACATGCCCATGCTAGAGCCATCCTGGGACCACTGTCAGGGCATAAGCAGCGAGAAGATTCTGTGCTGCCCACTCTTCCAGGAGGTCCAGGCCCTAGATTCTCCTTTGTGCCAGTGCTTGGGCAGGGGTCTCCCTCTGTCTGCAAGGAGGAGACTAGAAAAGCACACAGCTCCCGCTCCTGGCACGCCATCCCTTCCCGGGCCACGCCTGGTCAGGCCCACAGCAATGGGGCTCGGTCCCTTTAAGTGCGGCCGGGAGCGCTGGGGCCGGGCGGCGTGGGGTTCCGGGATCCCAGCCGGTCCGTGCGGGTAGTGGGGCTCTCGCTTCCCGGCGCCGGCGGCGTGGACGCCTCGCGGAGGGGACGATGAGCCGCATCTACCACGACAGCGCGCTCCGGAACAAGGCGGTGCAGAGCGCACGGCTGCCCGGGGCCTGGAACCCCGCCGCCCACCAGGGGTAGGCCTGGCCGGCGGGGGCGGGGACCCGCGGCTGCCCGGCCCTCTGGAGAGGACCCCCGACTCATCAGCGGGGCCTCGCTGGGCACCCGGGCCTTTGCAGGCGGGGGTTGTCTTGGCGGGGCCGAGAGTGCAAGATGTGGCGAGGGAAGGAAGAAAGGAGGGGGAGAGGACGGGAACACCCATTTACAGCTAGGAACCAGGAAGAGCCAAGCACAGTCAGGCACAGACAGTATGCTTGAGATCTTCGCTGTAGGTGGGCTGTGAAACAGGGCCACTCAGAGGCAGGGAGAGGAACAGGGGCTGCGGGGACTGGGGCTGGGGCAAGCTCAGCGAACCTCAGCTGCGTGATCTGGGGAGCTTCTGGGGTCGTTAGAGCCCATGGCTCCCTGGAGGACTACGTCATGATGCACCCTGAGCATGCATAGGCTCTGTGAGATGAATGTTCTTGGGGGGAGGGGGGGGAGGAGAATGTTCGGAGTGGGTGGGCGCATGAGTCTGAAGCAGCAGAGGAAAGCTCCTGGAGAGAGAAGGGTCATCTTGGCTGTGGGTTCTGCAGGTGGTCAGTGGAACATCAGGGCCTTGTGAGTGGGCTGTGTGATGGTGGGCAGGTGCAGAGGGAGGGTGCGGGGGAGGGGGGGGAGCAAGGAAGCAGGAAGAAACGGAAACACCCTTTACAGACCCACCTGGGATGGGGAGCCCTTCCTAGGTACCTGCTTTCGGGCACCATGTTGCAATAGGTTCCTGCCTTAATCCATAACCTGAGACTGGGGAGTCAAGCCCAGGGTGGGTGGGTCCGAGAAGACAGAGCTGCTTGCCCTTCCTGTGCCTGGTCCCTCTTCCATTCTTGTCTTCAGCTGTCCTCAACCCCACGAGTGGGGTGGCTGTTTCCGTGGGTTGGTGACCACGTGGCCATGAGCGAAAACAGAAGAGAAAGCGTAGCGGCTTAGACATCTCCCCCTGCGTCTGGTTAAATATAAAGTCCTTTCTTTTTATAAGTCCTGTGTGGTTTGTAAAACACCTTCCAGTACTTTTTCATGTCATCCCTGGAGGAGCAGAGGGAGGCAGCTGCTTTCCTCCCTACTTTTAAAAGTAAGATTTATTTTTATTTGTTTGTTTGTTTTTACTGGAAAGGCAGATCAGATTTACAGAGAGAAGGGGAGAGATCTTCCCTCTGCTGGCTCACTACCCAAATGGTTGCAACAGCTGGAGCCCAACTGATCCATGGGAGCTTCTTCTGAGTCTCCCATGTGGTGCAGGGTCCCAAGGCTTTAGACCCTCCTCTACTGCTTTCCCAGGCTACAGACAGGAAGCTGGATGGGAAATGGAGCAACTGGGACATGAAGTGGTGCTCATATGGAATCCTGGTACTTGAAGGTGGAGGATTAGCCATTTGAGCCATCATATGTGGCCCTTTTGTCCTCATTTTGCAAATCGGGAAGACAGAGGCTGTAGTTGCGGATAACAGCAGGAGCTGGAACTGGGTCTTAGGGCAGCCTGACCAGGTCTCTCTTACGTACCCTGTGTTGCCCCTACCTTGAGACCCTTAGTGAAGTGGTGTTCCTGCTGTGTCGAGTGCAGGCTGTGACCTGGGCCTGTGGACACTAACATAGCTACCATCCCTTCTTTGCTCTTGTTGCCAGGGGCAGTGGTGTCCTGCTAGAGGGGGAGCTGGTGGATGTGTCTCGGCACAGCATCCTGGATGCGCACGGCAGGAAGGTGAGGCTTGCAGGGTCCTGGCTTCCCATCCTTCAGCCACCTGAGCTGGGTTCTGCTGCTTCCAGAGGGACAGCCAGCATGGTGGGAAATGGACCACCAAGGGGAAAGGGCACCCCGAGCAGGGCAGGGCTGGGCAGCAGGCAGGTGTGGGAGCCTGGGTTCCTGCCAGGGTGCTGAGCTAGTTTTGCCTGTGTGTGGAGGCTGTCTGTGGCACGCCTGGCATGGGCTGGCCTGTGCTCTTTGCTGGTTATCAGTTTTTAATTCACATAGAATAAGTTTCCATGCAAGGGTACTTCAGAAAACTCATGAGCATGGAATTAAACAATAACTTTATTTTAGTTTAACAAAAACCTTGGAAATCCCTACATAAAATGGGCATGGAAAAATGGTGGAAAACACATGGATTCCAACTCTTTTGCACCCAGGTAAACATGGATTCTGTGTTTTCCTTGAACTTTTGTTTACCAGATTTCCTTTGGGTGGGACTTTTTTCATTCACTACCCTTTCACACAGTCAGTGAGCTGCAGGCCACCCATTTCCCTGGTGTCTGAAATTCAGCTCTCTACAGGGCCCACCCCAGCCACCCTCTGGTCCCCTGTACCTGTGGGAGCAGCCCCAGCCCCAGGTCATGCCAGGTGGGGTTTGCTGCACCCTCACTTCCTAGGCATGCAGCTTAGCCTGGAGGAGCAACAGCCCGGAGACCCACTGCCGTGGAGCCTACCCACCTGGGCTGCTCTGCCAGGCAGGCCGTGCTCCAAGCCCTTCTCCCAGCTTGCTTACTCCGAGCTGCTCATTCTGGGTGACCATGCAGTGGCCCTGCCAACTACCAGACTGCCACGCCACAGTCTCTCCTTCCTCCCATCCCGGGTAGGCAGTGCCAAGGCCTGCGGGGCGCCTGCTTGGCCCTTCCCTCTTTGCTACTTCCTCCCCTTCTCACCTGTGCTCACCTTGGCTGGCCCTCAGCCTCTCCTTGTAACACATCACACCTGCCCACTTGCCTCCGGCTGGCCTGCTGCCAGCTTCCAGACGCCTCTGAGGATCTCAGTGCTGCCTGAAAGCCTTCCAGGAAGTCCTTCTTGGCCAGTGCTGCTTAAACTGCCAGAGAGCTTGGGCTGTGTGTGGCCTGCATCATCCATGGCTTTGCTTCGCCTTTCCCTCCCCACCCTCCCCACACTCTGCAGACCTCACTTTCCTTCTTCTGCCCAGAAAGTGGGCTCCATCTACTTGGGTCTCAGTAGCCAGCAAGCAGCATTGACACTGTAGTCCCAGCTTTATGCTATGCTTGCACATAGGCCCCCCAGTCCTGAAACAGATGTCACATCCCTCAGGGACAGGGCTAACTGAGGTTCCGGGAGGCGGGCAGCTAGGAGTGACTCGGTGCAGGTGCTACACTTCCTGCCAGGGAGAGGCAGAGAGACCGCCATTTCCCACCTTATGGGGCAGACTGAGCATCCCTAGCTCAAGAGTACAAAATTGGAAACTTGGGCAGCACCAGTGTGATACTGCCAAGGTTGGGGATCCTGGGTGCTTGGGCTCAGGTGTTCTATATGGCCTGGTCTCCGGCTCTGTGGACGCCTTGAAGGCAGGCCTGTGCCTGCCCTGGCACTATGCACGGCCGGTGCTCCAATGAACATGCGAATGAATGAATATTTACGGTGGTGGGGTGGGGTGGCCTAGCCTGAATGGTTTCCAGGAGTTGAGGTGGGATTCCAGGCAGAGGAGCAAGCAGGTAAGTGTTGGCAGCAGCCTGGGCCCACAGGACATGCTTGGGGGGAGTGGTGAGGCAACCACTTCCCATCTTCTCCCCCCTGCTGCAGGAGCGCTACTACGTGCTGTATATCCGGCCCAATCGCATCCATCGTCGGAAATTCGACCCCAAAGGGAACGAAATCGAACCCAACTTCAGTGACACCAGGAAGGTGACCACAGGATTCCTCATGTCCTCCTACAGTAGGTGTCCTCTTGTATCGGGGACTCTGACAACACCTCTTGCTCCATGTGGTCAGCTGGAGAGCTGGTGCCTGGCTCCAGAGTCCCTGCCCCCACTTGCTGCCCCTTCTCCCCATTGGCCCACCTTAGTACAGGCTGACCCACGCCCCCTGACTCCCACTGGTCCCTGCAGTACCTCAGAGCTGTCTGCAGACTTAGCTCTGGGCTCCAAGAGCCTACATGCAGAGCCCAGCACAGGCCCCCAGCAGCCACTGTGTTACTGCCAAAGTCCTTCCTGGGCTTCTGGGTCCTCTCTTGGTTGGTCTGTGCTCCTGGCATGAAATACTTTAGACCATGTGATTGACAGACAACACAGATTTACCTTGCTCACTTCTAGAGGCTGATGAGCCCAAGAGCAAGGTCCTGGCAGGTTCAGTTCAGGGATGGTGCCTTCTTGCTGGATACCCCTGGGCTGAAGGACGAGGCAGCTGCCTTCCCCTGTTTTTAAGGGGGTGTCAGTTCCATTCCTGACCCTCTGCCTCGTGACCTCCTCCTGAAGTACCCAGTTGGGAAGACTCTTGCGCTGGCACCTGAGCTGCAGGATCTGGAGTTTCTACATGCAGACCTCACGGGCTTGCCAAAGGCCTTGAGGCTCTTCTGGCTTCCTCTGCAGAAGGGAGGAATTCTTTGCTGATTGCCCCTGTATAAGAAAACCGAGACTGAGTGGGAGTCAGACATTTCATTCCTTCATGCTGTCTGTAGATTGCTTGTTAATTCCCCAGACCTCCGGTGAACCGCTGTGGGCCCTGGACCATGTGAGCTACAGGCTAGGGTGTTACCGGCTTCTGGAGGAGGTGGGTGGTCTGGAGCTGGAACCCTGGAGGCTGAGCAATCAGCAGAAGTTAGCCCATGTTTCCTTAGGAGATGGGGTGCCCAGCTGTGAGCCCCATGGGGACTGGGGGCGTGCGTCCATCCAGGCAACCAGATGTGTGATGAGAAGGGCAGGGAAGAGCAGGAACCGGAAAGGACTGAGTAGCCATGCTAGCTACAAGGGAGTCCCTTCTTGAGTAGCTGTCCATCTTGGGGTGACAGGATTCTATTGGTTTGACTCCTTGGGGGTGGGGACACAGCTGCTGGAAAGCCTTGCAGATGCTGCTGACACAGTGATGTCAATCCTGTGTGCCTGCAGAGGTGGAAGCCAAGGGGGACAGCGACAGGCTTACACCCGAGGCACTGATGGGGCTGGTGAATAAGCCTGAGCTGCTGGCGCTGACCGAGAGCCTTGCCCCTGCTGGGACTGTGGCATTCTGGATACCCGAGGCAGAGATGGAGGCCCTGGAGCTGGAGCTGGGGACTGGGATTCGGCTAAAAACTCGGGGTGATGGCCCCTTTTTGGGTAAGCTTGGCTCTTTCTCTCTGAACCGCTATTCCTGGGCGGCCTCCTTCTGTGGAGCCCCAGCCCATCCAGCCTGGTGCTCATGGGTGCTAATGGTAGCACGCTAGGTCTACACTCAGGCCTGTGGTGGCAAGGGTGGGGGACATGGCTGCACAACCTGAGATTGAGTCCTAAACCCTGGGCAGGTGTCATGGGGTCATGTGGCAAACACCCTGTCTCCTGCTGGGGTGTACTGGCTGATCCTGGGTTCCTGAGGTTGGCCTCTGCTATCTAATGCCTTGTGTATGGGGGGGAGGGTGTCTCACATAGGGCCTCAGGGACCCCACTGGCCCCACCCCGACATTCCTGCCACAAGGAGAGAGGACACTCAATGTCTCTTCTTCTCTCAGAGTCTTTGGCCAAACTTGAGGCTGGAACAGTGACCAAATGTAATTTCGCTGGTGACCGTAAGGCAGGCGCATCCTGGACGGACAACATCATGGCTCAGAAGGCCTCAGAGGGGGCAGCGGCAGAGACGTGCGAGCAAGGAGACGGGGCTGCAGATGAGGAGTGGGTAGGTCGGGGAGGCCATGCCCCTGGCCTCGGAGCAGTTGGATGAGGTACCTCAAGTGTTCTTGGAACATGGGATTTAAATGAGTCCATTGAGGTGCCACCACTTTTAAAAAATTTTTATTTTTGATGAATTTTATGCAGTTGATTAGGGTGGGAAGGGTTGAGGTCTAGGGAAAAGTGGGTGAGACTACTATTTCCACACCTTCCTTCTGTATCTGAGGGGGAGGGGAGAGCCAAAGGGAGAAGCCACACCCAGCCTCCCAACAGCCCTGACACCCAGGGATGGGGAGCAGCCACCTGATGTCATCCCAAGGTCCCCGATGTGGAGCATGTTCTGAGGGTTCTGTTCAAGTAGTTTTGATAGTTCTGATGTGCCGTTGATCTTGCCGATCCAAGGATGAGGAAATCCTTCCAAGGTCCATTGACAGACACAGTCCACCCCAGAGTCTCCATTTGCCCAGAAATTTGCTGGCATGCTTCTCTGGGGTGGTTGGCCAATTTGTTCCACCCTCCTTCCTCTTCTGTGGTACCAGATGTTCTCTGATCCTCCTTGCGCATCTGGGTGTGCTGTCCACTGCACCATCTTCAGTAACTGAGGTGGCCCCATCCAGACACATGCACTGTACTATTGGATCACATGCCATTCTCCCCATGGTTTGAGTTCTGAGCAGCAGTTTAGTTGGGGAGACCTTCAAAGAAATCTCATCTGAGGGGACCCAAGACCTGACTCCCATGTATTCCTGCCAGTACAGGGTCCAGCTCATTCTGTTACCCACATCAGCCTATACACACACTGATAGTTGCAACTGCTAGGTCAGATCTGAGTTTGTCCTGCTCACATCTCTTTACTGCTTGGGATCTCTCCAGGATGACTGAGGTGATGGACACGGACTGAGATGATAGCCTGGATTCCAGCAGTCCCTTCTGCAACACGACTGAGAATACCTCCCACCCATGGATGCCCGGAAGCTGGAGTTCACCCAGCCTGCCTGTTCCTGGCCTGCGACTGCCTCTGCACCCCTCTCTGAGAGCAGGTCCGAGAGCAGGATGTGGTCCTTGCCGTGGCTCACGGAAGGTCCTGCCCCAGCTGTCAGGCTGATCCTCCTGTGTGTCTTCCCCTGGATGGCAGCCTCATTTCAGGGGCTGGTGGAGGGCAAGTTCCCCCGGAGTAATCCCGAGGAACTGGACTTGGTTTTGGTGCAGACTTGGAGGACTGTCCCGCGTCCAGGTGCTGAGTGGCCATGTCCTCCCAGCTTCCTGCTTTCCTTCCTCACCTTCCCACCCCACCCAGCCTCAGGGCTCTGCAGCCACCCTCAAGTGTCAGTTCTTTCTCCCTCCTTTGATTCCAGGCCACCTCGGGCCTTCCTGGCTGCCTTCCTGGAGCCGGAGGATGCTGTTGCTGGGGAGATGTGGCTGGCTGGTCTGGCAGTCACCTCAGGCTCGCTCTGCTTTTTTGTACCATGAGAACTTTGGATGATCAATCAGTTCTCAGCAGCGCCTCCATGTGGCTTCAGGTGTAAATGATCTTCAGCAAGCCACACCTCTATTCCTACCCCCAAGGAAGCTGACTGCTGTCCATAGCAAAGCCCGGTTGGGTGGTGGGCATCTATATACCTTAGGGACGTGGAGAAAGGGAGGTGAGATTAACACAGCAATTACTGAGGTCCCCTCCTGTGCCAAGTGCAGCATCGGCTGTGGCAATAACAGCTCTGGGCTACTGTTGTGTGCTCCTGGTGCTAGCACCTGCAGTAATTGACAGCCATCCCCTGAGGTACAGGGATTTATCATGTTCCCATATCAGACTATGGCCGGGCTCACTGGGCAGTACATGGAGGAGAGAGGATTGAAGCCCCGGCAGTCAGATTTCAAGGTGTACATTCTGAATTCCTGGACCACTCTGCTTGCAGGTGGATATTACAGTGCTCAGAGGGGTCTAGGCAAGTTGCTCAAAGTCACACAGCTCATAAACTATGCTCCTTCCACTGAGTGTCCCCGCTTTCCTGGCCTCCAGTAGGGTCTTTGATACAGGAGTGAGAGGATATAGTTATCACCTCACTGATGGCCTGGGTCTGAACGGCAGAAGCCCACAGGCAGGTTATGCTGGGACCTCACCCATGCAAATGTTGAGGGAGGTGGTTAAGTAGGAGGGGAGCTGGAGGTACCAACTGGGCATGAAGGCCCAGTGGGAGTGCCCTGCTACCCAAAGCACCGTGACCTAAGAGGATGGCAGAGCCACAGGCATACCGCCACACCAAACAGGGAGGCCCCGTGGGTCAGTGGGGAAAGCAAGAGAAAGGGCCTGGGGCTTAGGTGGGCTTCAGGAAGACAAAGGCCATTGTGGGGGAACCCTGAGAACAGGGGTGAGGCAGTTGTTTGTGAGGCGAGTCTGGTGGTGGTGGGGTGGCAGGGATGTAGAGATTCACCCTTACATCCCAGAAGCTGGTGAGCCCGTGCAGGATGATATGGTCTGCTTCAGATGTCCTGGAAATCATGTGGGGAACCCTGGGGTTGGCCGAATGAGCCTGGGAGTGTGAGGGTGGCTGGGCTGCAGCAGGATTGAAAGAGGGAAGAAAATGGTTTATGGGGCATTCTGGGGAGGGGCAGGACCCTAGGGAACTGGCAGGGGAGAGGAGAGGTCAGCATGATGCTCAGATCACAGGTGCACGGCCATTCTGGGTGACCTGCCACTCAACAGGAAACTAGCCTATGGGCAGCAGGGAAGGGAAGCCCTGAAGAAGCGAAGGCAAAGTTGAGTGGGGTCCATGCTTAGCATGGCTGGCAAGCATGGGCAACAGAGAAGGGAAGGCCAAGCTGGTTGGGGACGAGAACCAGGCTTAGCAGGCAGGGATACAGACACCTATTCCCTCAAGTAGGATGAAGGGGATGAGAAGCTGCTGTCGCTCACCCTGGCACCATGGACATGCCCTGTGACAACCCAACTGTCCCAAACTCGCCCAGCAGGTGGGAGATGCCCGGTCCTAATGCACTTTGGTTTCCGCACTGGTCAGGACTGACTGGACGTTGGGGTGGGCTCAGCCAGTGAGCAGGACCCTTTGTAGACACTGGCAGGGGAGCTGAGGAGGGAACTGGTTGGGTGCCTGAGCAGGGTTGCATCTTGGGCAGCTTTCTGAATGTACCCTAGCCTCGGGTACACCCTGGATGAAGGGTTTGAGTTCCTTCACACAACACTGAGCTCATCACACAGTCACAGCCCTCCTTCATCTGCCTGCTTGTTCCTTCCAAGCCCCAGGCTGTGTTCTAAGGCAGCTTGAAAGGGCTTCTCCCGGTGCTTGATAGGTGCTAGAAACAAAAGCTGGGGGTGGGCTGTGTTTATGATTTGGTTTGTTGACACGATGTTAAATTTGAACTCAAACACTTCTATAGGATTTCTTAGGGCTTTTTTTTTTTTCATCAGTTGATTATTTGAGGGGCAGAGACAGGTATATTGAGAGACAGGGATGCTGAGAGACAGGGAGGCATAGCTTCTGTCTGTTGGCTCCATCCCCAGGTGTCTGCAGCAGCTGAGTCTTAGCCAAGCCGAAGCCAGAGGCCAGGAACTCAATCCAGGTCTCCCACATGGTTCAACTGGAGGTATTTAAGCCGATCCCTGTTTAGCCAATGTTTCAAAAATGTTGAAATGATGTAGTTCCCTCAACTTTTCCCCTGCCGTACACATGCTGTGTCTTTGAGTTATTTTTCTTGGAGTCTTTTGTGAAGTAATTGTTATTTGGCCAAGTTACTTCCCCACAGGGCAAAACTAAACTCTCATGTCACCAGCAATGTAGTTGGAGAACCACTTTCATTCAACTCTTGCCAGAATTAGGTGTTGAAAACATCTTAAAAATGGTCTTTGGAAAAGTGAAACCTAACACCTTAGGAGAGGATGCTCAGCTCAGTTTAGTTGCGCACCTGACAGGGTATCTGGGTTTCAGTCTTAGCTCCAGCTTCTGCAGCGTGGCAGCGAGCCTGACCCCTGGGTGGAAGACCTGGACTGAGAGCCCACTTCCATCTCTGACCCCAGCCTAGCCCATGCATCCCGAGAGTAAACCAGTTGCTAAGAAGGCCCTCCTGCCTCATTCTCTGCTTCCTAATTTTGTAAATGTATGACAGTTTAAATCTTTGACTTTCTTCGCATTTGTGGTGAATAGAAACACCTTTTTCATTTTCTAGTGGTATTTCCTCATTTGTTACTTACTTTCTCTGCCCATTCACCTATGGGGAGTCCTCTTGCTTTATCAGAATCATTCGTATTTCAAATGTAAAAATATATATAAACATTCACCATATTTTAGCAATTATTTTCAATGTTTAAAATTTTGTTTTACAAAAAATAAAATCTTCCTGTAGAAATATAAGCTGACTTTGTGATTTTTAAAATTGCTTCTAAGTTCATAAGTCTCTTTTCAGGTCCTTTTTTCCCCCCTTCATTTTCAATTGTTGTTTGATTTTATATTGAACTCTTTAACCTCCTCTACCCATGGCTTTTAGAGGAAGGTGTGAAGTGATGTGATTATTTTGCTTATTTCGGAATTGCTATCTGGTTATCTCAAAAGTACCTTACATAACTTTTTAAAAAGCGATTTATTTATCCTTTAGAAGGTAAAGTTACAGGGCCCGGCAACGTGGCCTAGTGGCTAAAGTCCTCGCCTTGAACGCGCCAGGATCCCATATGGGTGCCGATTCTAATCCCAGTGGCCCCACTTCCCATCCAGCTCCCTGCTTGTGGCCTGGGAAAGCAGTCAAGGACGGCCCAAGACTTTGGGACCCTGCACCCGTGTGGGAGACCCGGAAGAAGTTCCTGGTTCCCGGCCATTACGCTCACTTGGGAGTGAATCATCGGATGGAAGATCTTCCTCTCTGTCTCTCCTCCTCTCTGTATATCTGACTTTGTAATAAAAATGAATAAAATCTTAAAAAAAAAAAAAAGGTAAAGTTACAGAGGGGGAGAGACAGAGGTCTTCCAGCCACTGGTTTGCCCCCAAATGGTTGTAGTGACTGGGGCTGGGCCAGGCTGAAGCCAGGAGCCAGGAGCTTCTGCTGGGTTTTGTAGGTGGGTGGCAGGGGCTCAAGGTCTGGGGGCATCTTCTGCTGCATTTCCCAGGCCATTAGCAGGGAGACCCCAGAAGTGTTTTTTTTTTTTTTTTTTTAAATTTTATTTATTTAAAAGAGACCCGTTATTTATTTGAGAGAGAAAGAAAGGAATAGAGAAATTGCATCTGCTGGTTCACTCACAGCTAGAACTGGATTGGGGTTGCAACCAGCATATGATCATTCAACCCAGGGCTCCCCTGTTATTAGAGTCACCTAGGGTGATTAGCAGGACGAAAGTTGAGAACTGGAAATCCCACTCAGAAACACTGATGTGTAAGGCACTTCTTCCTCATGAAGCCAAAAGCTCCTCCCTTTCCCATCCCAACAAGATTTCCTGAATCCCCTCCCACTGCCCAGTGTGCCCCATGTCATGCTAAAATTGCTGTGCGTGAGGCCAGGTATTGTAGTGTAACCGGTCGGCCGCCTCTTGTGATGCTGGCATCCCCCATCAGAGTCCTGGTTCCATTGCTGGTTGCTCAGCTCCCAGTGTGTCTCCCTGCTACTGTGCCTGGGAGGCGCAGTGTCTGGACCCCTGTTTCTATGTAAAAGACCAAAATGAAGTGCTGGCTCCTGGCTTTGACTTTGCCAGCCCTTTCTGTTGCAACTACTGGGGAGGTGTAGGGGAGGGGGAACCAGCAGACGGAAGTTCACTCACTCCTTCTCTCCCTTTTAAGTAAATAAATAAATCTTTAAAAAATTATTATGTCTAAATTACTATTACCTTTCAGGAAGTCGCCCTATACTCACAATTTGAGCCATTATGGCAGATGCTAGTTCCTCATTACAGCTCTGCTTTAGAGTTTTCCTTAGGGCCCAGTGCGATGGCTCAGTGGTTAAGTCGTCACCTTGCAAGCACCAGGATCCCATATAGGCGTCGGTTCGTGTCCTGGCTGCTCCACTTCCCATTCAGCTCCCTGTTTGTGCCCTGGGAAAGCAGCGGAGGATGGTCCAAGTGCTTGGGCTGTACCTAAGTGCAAAACCTGGAAGAAGTTCCCGAGTCTTGCCTTCAGACCAGAACTGCTCTGGCTTTTGTAGCTGTAGGGTGGTGAACAACAGATGCAAGTCCTCTCTGTGTCTATCAAAAAATAAATAAATAGGGCCCAGCGGCGTGGTGGCCTAGTGGCGAAGGTCCTCACCTTGAATGTGCCGGGATTCCACATGGTCGCCAGTTCTAATCCCAGCGGCCCCACTTCCTCTCTATCTCTCCTCCTCTCTGTATAGCTGACTTTGTAATAAAAATAATTCTTTAAAAATAAATAAAATAAAATTCTTAAAAAAAAGTCACACCACCTGGATGAAATAGAGTCATTTTCCAGCCTGGAAAGCTTGCTCTGTGCCTGATCTACAGCTGAGAAAACTTTGCACATAGAGCCTGTGCGGCCAGCAGCTGGGGGATCTGACTCAGGCCAGTGTGACCCCAATACGCTCTGAACTGCCAGCCCAACAGGTACAGTGCCCACATTGGGTTGCATTTACTCCCAAGGCAGTGCAAAGTGGTGTCCTCCCCCCGCCATACTTTGTATAATCTCTACAATTCACAGCTGTCATGAAGCTTCCCATATTCGTCTTTCACAGTATGATTGTTACGAACTGTAACAATATTATTTATGCACGTAGAACAACTCATGGTTAGCTCAGGAATGGCCGGCCTCGCGAAACCCCGCAGAACGCGGACGTGGACGGTCTGCACTGGACTCGGCTGTGCCCGGGCCGTCGTGGCGGGTCGTGGCGGGCCCCGTGGTCCCTGTCGCCGGGTGGCACAGGTCGGCCGGGCTCCTCACCTGGAAACGAGGCCCCGGGCCGCGCCCGCCTCTCGGGGGCCGGACCCTTCGTGCTCGGGGCCTCGTTTCCGGGCGAGGCCCTGAGTGGCGCACCAGCCGGAAGTGCCCGAGTCGGGGCGGCGAGAGGCAGTGTGTGGGAGTGGCGGGGCGGAGGGGAGTGAACCCGCAGCGATGATCCAGGCGATTCTGGTTTTCAACAACCACGGGAAGCCGCGGCTGGTCCGCTTCTACCAGCGTTTCGTGAGTGCGGCCCGGCTGCGCCCCTTGCCCCCTCCGCTGGTCCCTCAGCCCGTGCCACCCGCTTCTTCCCCTCCCGGGGCCCGAACCCCCATCCCCTCGGGGGCGGGCCTGGCACTGAGCGCTGGTTCGCGACGCCGCCAGGTCTCAGCCCCCGGCCACGGTCTCTCATCTTGGAGGACCTTCAAGCAGTCAGCTTCTTATTTTTATTTATTTATTTATTTTTTATTTTTGGTGGGCAGAAGGCCTGGGCGAAACTGCTGCGTGTCCTGACTTCGACCCGGCGTTTCCTCCGGGTGGGGGGTCGAACAGGCCGTTTTAAATGCGGGAGTCGCTGTGACAGATGTTGCCTCGTTGAGGACTCCATCCCTGGTCGTGTGCATTTTCCAAAAAGTGTTTCGCTAGAAGGCGAGCGCGCAGAGGCTGGCGCCTCCCGATGTTTTATCTCTCAGGGGCTGGCTGGGTTTCAGGACGCTGATGCGTGGAGGGGCCTGCCTTGGGCCAGGAGAAATGAAAAATAATCTTACCCTTTGCAAGAGAGGTTGCAGTTGGCATCACAATGAACATTAGAAGCATCCTGTTCAGCTGGTGTTTGCATTTGTGTATGTGTGTGGATCCTCCCCCGCCCCACCCCTAGTTTGTTTTCTGATACGACCAGGCTATCTCACTTACCATTCAGGTCAGTTATATTCCACGGGCCCAGACCTCAGGCTGCTGCTTGCGGTACCCACATCCCGTGTCGCCTAAGGTTCTGATCCCACAACCTGTGTCCTGTTGTCAGGGATCTGGTCCCTTACCCGGTGTCTCACTGTCAGGGATCTGGTCCCTCACCCCATGTCTCACTGTCAGGGATCCGGTCCCTCATCTCATGTCTGACTGTCAGGGATTTGATCCCTCATCTCATGTCTGATTGTCAGGGATTTGATCCCTCATCCAGTGTCTGTCAGGGATCCAGTGGTCTCTGCTCCCATCCCAGCTTCATGCTGATGTAAACCTTTGAAGGCAGCAGGTGACGGGTCAAGCCTCAAGTCCCTGTCTCCCACACCCACGCAGGGCTGCATCGCCTTTGGTCTGACTCAGACCCAGTCAGCTATTGTGGATACCTGGTGATTAGACCGGTGGATAAAAGTTGTCTCATTTTTCTCTGCATCTCGGTGAAATAAAATAAATAAATAGATAAGTAAATAAATAACATTTAAAAAACTGTGTAGATCCAAGTTGGCAGGTTTTATTTTTATTTATTTTTTAAGATTTATTTATTTACTGGAAAGTCAGATATACAGAGAGGAGGAGAGACAGAGAGGAAGATCTTCCATCGGATGATTCACTCCCCAAGTGAGCGCAATGGCCGGTGCTATGCCAATCTGAAGCCAGGATCCAGGAACTTCTTCCAGGTCTCCCACACGGGTGCAGGGTCCCAAGGCTTTGGGCCGTCCTCGACTGCTTTCCCAGGCCACAAGCAGGGAGCTGGATGGGAAGTGGAGCTCCTGGGAATAGAACCGGCGCCCATATGGGATCCTGGGGCGTTTAAGGCGAGGACTTTAGCCGCTAGGCCACGCTGCCGGGCCCAGGCAGGTTTTAGTATTAAGGGTACCTGGTCATTGCCACAGTCGGTTTTGCCTACCCATCCTCCCTCAAGTGCTACAACCCTAGACCACAGCTTAGCTATGTTCTGTCTCTAAGTGAATCCACTCCTGCAGAATCCACTCCTGCAGAATCCACTGAGATGGAGTTATACAATCTGTGGTCTCTTGTGCATCTTCTTTTACCTAATATTCTTCTGTTGGTGGCATGGTTCTTCATTACCTTTTGTTGCCAGATAGTAGTACACCATAGTATATGTCGTATTTATTTATTTGGAAGATAGAGTTGCAGATTGGCAAGGGGAGACAGAAAGAGATCTTTCATCTGCTGCTTTATTTCTCAAATGGGTTCAGCAGCCAGGGCCACACCAACATGAAGCCAGGAGCCTCTTTCTGGTTTCCCTTCTGGGTGGTAGGGGCCCTGACCTTGAGACCACCTCCTGCTTCCTTTCCCAAGTGCATTGTCAGTGTTCAGGGTCTGATGCAGAGCAGCAGGGACGTGAACCACTACTCAGGATGCTGGTGCTGCAGGTGGCAGCTTGACTGGCTGTGTTAAAATGCTGGCTCCGGATATAAATATATAATTAAAACAAAGATTTATTTATTTTTATTGGAAAGTCAGATTTACAGAGAAGAAGAGAGACAGAGAGGATGATATCCCATCCTCCGAGTCACTCCCCAAGTGGCCACAATGACCAGAGCTGAGCCGATTTGAAGCTAGGAGTTAGGAGCTTCTCCCGGGCCTCCCATGCTGGTGCAGGGTCCCAAGGCTTTGGGCAGTCCTCGACTGGATGGGAAGTGGAGTGGTTGGGACACAAACTGGTGTCTGTGTGGGATACCGTGCTTGGAGGTGGAGGATTAGCCATTGAGCCATTGCACCAGCCCCTAAGTAACACTGATTCACTACCCACATGCCGCCAACAGCTCCTGGCTGGGAACTGATTTCAGATACTACATGGGAGTGATAGGGACCTAGGCACGTTAGTATAATAAGACTCAGGTGTTTTGTTTTTTTTTTTTTTAAAGATTTATTTTTTATTACAAAGGCGGATATACAAAGGAGAGACAGAGAGGAAGATTTTTCCGTCCGATGATTCACTCCCCAAGTGAGCCACAACGGCCAGTGCTGCGCTGATCTGAAGCCGAGAACCAGGAACCCCCTCCAAGTCTCCCACGCGGGTGCAGGGTCCCAAAGCTTTGGGCCGTCCTCAACTGCTTTCCCAGGCCACAAGCAGGGAGCTGGATGGGAAGTGGGGCTGCTTGGGATTAGAACTGGTGCCCATATGGGATACAAGTGTGATCAAGGCGAGGACTTTAGCCACTAGGCCACGCTGCTGGGCCCATGGGACTCAGGTGTTTTAACTGCATCTTACTCCTGCCTGGAATACGCCTCGTTTTGGCTGTTGATGCATCAGTTGATGTTTCCAACTTTGGCCCTCGTGAAAAGGCTGCTATGAACATGGAAATGCTTTTTTTTGGGTCAACCTTATTTTTCTGATCCCTGTGTCTTATGTTAACTCAATCATGAGAGCTGCCAAGCTGTTTTCCTGGTGACTGCACAGTTGTTTCATTTCTGTTAGCTCTGGATAAGGGTTCTGATTTCCTCAGACTCATACAAATTTGTGAGACATCAGTGTTGTTGATGAAAGGCATTTGACTGGGAGTGGAGTAGCTCATGGTGGCTTTGGTTTTAATTCCACAAGTATCTTTCCCGTGCACTTATTTGGATGTCTTTGGAGATCTTAGGATTTTTTAAAGAAACTTTTGAGCTAATGAGTGAAAGTGCAGATTAAACAAAGATCTGAAGGCTTGGTCATTCCCTGGGCTGCCACACCCACATAGAGTCAGATAAAAGAGTTTAAATTTAAAAGATGTTTCTGTTTTTTAAAAATACTGGTATCTACACCCTGGTGTTGTCAGTGCACACGGAGTTGGAGTTAATCGTTGACAATATTTTGGCATCTGTGAACTTGGAATGTTTTTCAAATTCAAACCAGGAAAGTAGTGATTGATTTACTTGAGTTTATGGTGACCAGTGGTGAATAAGTTTTCATTTGGGGCTGGTGTTGTGGCCTGCCAGTTAAACTGCTGCCTGCAGTGCTGGCATTTTTATGGGCACCAGTGAGAGTCCAGGCTGCTCCACTCCTGATCCAGCTCCTTGGGACTGTACCTGGGAAAGCAACAGAAAATGGCCCAAATGCTAGGGCCCCCACATCTGATTCAAAGACCTGGATGCACTTCCAGGCTCCTGGCTTCAGCCTGGCCTAGCCTTGCCATGGTGGCCATTTGCAGAGTAAAGCAGTATATGGAAGATCTATCCCAAAATCTGTCTAACTCTACCTTTCAAATAAATAAATACATTTTTTTTTTTAATTTATTTTTAAAACGTTTCCATTTTTAGGGCCCAGCGTGTTATCCTAGTAGCTAAGGTCCTTGTCGTGCACGTACCAGGATCCCAAATGGGGTGCAGGTTAATATTCCGGCTGCTCCACTTCCCATCCAGCTGCCTGTTTGTGGCCTTGGAAGGCAGTCGAGGACGGCCCAAAGCCTTGGAATCTTGAACCCACATGGGAGACCAGGAAGAAGTTCCTGGTTCCTGGCTTCGGATCGGCTCAGCTCTAGCCATTACGGCCGCTTGGGGAAGTGAATCAGCGGATGGAAGATCTCTCTCTCCTCTCTGTAAAATCTTTCCAATAAAAATAAATAAATCTTTTAGTTTTTAGGTTTTTATTTTTAAAAGGTTTGTATGTTTGAAAGCAGAGAGCTACAACATGTTCTTCCATCTGCTGACTGACTCCCCAGAGGGCCACAAGGGCTGAAGCTAGGCCAGGCCAAAGCTCCATGCAGGTATTTGAGCTATCATTGGCTGCTATCCTAGGTGCATTAGCAGGGCTGGACTGGAAGTCAAGTAACCAGGGCCTGAACAGTCCTGGTTTGCAAATGGTATTGAATGCCAGTCCACAAATGATAGCTTAACTTGCTGCACCCTAAAGGCAGCCCACATTGATTTTGTTTCATTCAGGGGCTACTGAAGGCCATTCCATACCCACCTTGAGACAAGATAATTTCTTTCTCCCTCTGCCTATTTTTTTTTCTTAAAATATATTTCAGGGGCCCTGTGCAATAGCGTAGTGGTTAAAGTCCTTGCCTTGAATGCGCCCGGGATCCCATATAGGGGCCGGTTTTGGAAGTGGGCCCGCTGGGATTAATCCTCCCTGCCTGTGGCTTGGGAAAGCAGTCGAGGACAGCTCAAAGCCTTGGGACCCTGCACCCGCGTGGGATTCCCGGAAGAAGTTCCTGGATCCTGGCTTCGGATCGGCGCAGCACCGGCCGTTGTGGTCACTTGGAGAGTGAATCATCGGACGGAAGATCTTCCTCTCTGTCTCTCTTCCTCTCTGTATATCTGCCTTTCCAATAAAAGTAAATAAATCTTTTAAAAAAAAAGCTTATATATATATAAATATAAATAAGTAAACATATATATATATATATACAAATCTATATATTTGAGAGGTAGAGAGGGGGTAGGCAGTGAGCTCTCACCTGCTGACTCATGCCGAAAGGCCTGCTAGCCTGGATTTAGGAACCAGGAACATAATCCAGGACCCTGGGTGGCAGGGATGCAACAATGTGAAATGTGATCCGTCCTCCTGCCTCCAGCGCCTGCCCTGGAGGGTGGGAAGCTGGAGTTGGGAATCGCACTTCCTCTTTACTAGGCCTAATGCCCTCTCCCCCATTTCCTTTACATTTCAAATGTAAAATTAGTTTTGTAGAAAGACAAGGCTGAAAATTGCCCCAATTTGTTTTCTCACCCTTGGACAAGTCCAGGCTGAAGAGCTACTCCGGTGTGGTCCCCAAAGCAAAAGTGCTGGGATGGCCCAGAAGCTTGTTGGGCCTGATTGTAGTCTGAGAACGTGACGCAGGCCTGCAGCATCAGCAGCTGCCCTTTGCTGATTGCAAGCGGGATTTGAGATGCACGGGCTTAGAGCTGTTAATGACTTCATGTCCTCCTGTCATCCTTCCACACTTGGGGAATTCACATACATGTATGCTGACTGTGCTATCAGGTGATTCCATGGTAGTTGAGCCTTCTCAAGTATGTACAACATCAAAAAAAAAAAAAAAAAAACCTGAAAAAGTAATCTTGTTCCTAGCTCTGTTCAACTTTTAATCTGAATCCTAATCTGTAAATGGTTCTTTGTTTTTCTCAGTAATCCTTGGTTGGTGAGCTACATAGTGCTATATAGAACTAGCGCAAGAAGTGGCAGATTCCATTTGACCTTTATTATTTTTTTAAGGTATTTATTTTCGGGCCCGGCGCGGTGGCGCAAGTGGTTAAGGTCCTCGACTTGAACGTGCCCGGGATCCCATATGAGCGCCGGTTCTATCCCGGCAGCCCCGCTTCTCTTCCAGCTCCCTGCCTGTGGCCCGGGAAAGCAGTCGAGGACAGCCCAAAGCTTTGGGACCCTGCACCCGCGTGGGAGACCCGGAAGAGGCTCCTGGCTTTGGATCGGCATAGTATTGGCCATTGTGCTCACTTGGGGAGTGAATCATCGGACGGAAGATCTTCCTCTCTGTCTCTCCTCTCTGTATATCCGCCTTTGCAATAAAAAAATAATAAAAATCTTTAAAAAAAGATATTTATTTTTATTGCAAAGTCAGATATACAGAGAGGAGGAGAGACAGAGAGGAAGATCTTCCATCGGATGACTCACTCCCCAAGTGACCACAATGGCTGGTGCTCTGCTGATCCAGAGCCAGGATCCAGGAACTTCCTCCAGGTCTCCTACGTGGGTGCAGGGTCCCAAGGCTTTAGGCTGTCTTTGACTGCTTTCCCAGGTCACAAGCAGGGAATTGGATGGGAAATGGAGCTGCTGGGATTAGAACCGGCACCCATATAGGATCCTGGGCACGTTCAAGGCGAGGACTTTGGCTGCCACCACATTGGGCCCCCACTTGACCTTCTTAAAGCATTAGACCTGTGGAGATTTGGTTTTGTAACAGGCATGGGTATTTCTCAGGGGAAAGAAAAAATGTTGCTGGTCATTCTTTATAACACTGAATAGAGTTTTTCAGTGCGCCCTTTCTTGTTGGAGTAACTCGTCTACCTGTAGCACAGTTGTAACAGATGTCCGGGCAAACACATTCTACCCTAACGCCTATGGAAGAGCCTTGCTGCCTGTTTTTCTTTGGGTTTATTCTCTGTTCTCTACTCACCTTTTCTAACCTTTATTTTTAATTTTTTAAAATTTATTTGAAAGGAAGAGTTAAAGAGAGAGATCTTCCATCCTTTGGTTCACTCCCCAAATGGCCACAAGAGCCAAGGCTAGCCAGGCCAAAGCAGGAGCCAGACGCCCAAGTACTTGAGCCACCTTCGCTGCTTTCCCCGGGCAGGAGCAGCTCTGCAGTAGAGTGAGGGGATGCCCTCATCACAGGTGGCAGCTCAATCTGCTGCGCCACAAGGCCTCGCGCCCTTTTCTGATTGTTTCTGGACACTGGTGTTTGCTTCCTGCCCTCATCCCCCTCCACAGGACGTCCTTTTTCAGAACCGCGCATCCCCATGCTCTTGTGTTTTTGCTCCACAGCCAGAAGAAATCCAACAGCAGATTGTCCGAGAGACTTTCCATCTGGTGCTCAAGCGGGATGACAACATCTGTAACTTTTTGGAGGGTGGAAGGTAAGTTGTTGCCTTGATTTTCCCGTGTTTGGTGTCGGGTGGGGACCTGACGCACTTGCAGCTCCCGTAGAGGGGCCTGGTTGTCTCTGGGACCCAGTTGAAGGAGTGGGCTTCTGGTGTTCCCCATATTGTTTTCTGGTCCCTGTGAAGGCAGACAGAAACAAGGGGAGGTAGAGCAGCTTTAAGAACTTCCATCGAACCTGCTTCTGCTGACTGGCCTGCTTTCACCTTCCTGCGGGCCCTCTCTCACTCTGGGAATGGGGTGAGGTATTGGATCAAGGTGCAGATGTTGACGCCTTTCCCATCTTCCACAGTCTGATTGGTGGTTCTGACTACAAACTGATTTACCGGCACTATGCGACCCTCTACTTTGTGTTTTGCGTGGATTCGTCAGAGAGTGAGCTGGGGATCTTGGACCTCATCCAGGTAAGTGTGCTCAGCCTCATTAGAGGATTGGGCAGCCCGTGGTGCCACTGGGTGTTGTGGTTGCGCATCATGCCCAGATGTCCACTAGATGGTGCTGTGGGGAAGCCGCTGAGCAGCCCACATTCTGAGTGCATCTGTGTTTGCGTCCTGCACGCAGCCCTAGCATTCCTCTGGGCTTTCTTGTTTGGAATTTTTTTCCAGCTGTCAAACTAAATGACATTTAGAAGTGGGTAGTGTTTATTTTCACTTATAATTCTAGCCCAAAGAAACTTGATGCTTGAGTTAGTCTATGTCATCTTGACATAGGGCAACATGATTTTTGTTAAACTTGTTGAAAATTAGCAGTTGCTTCTTAGTTCCCTTCATTATCTTCATGGAAACTGAAATGTGTAGGAAGACTGGAGTACAGTGCCACCGTGTCTGCGGGGGGTTCCAGGCGGGCTCCTCCAAGGGCTTCAGTCGCCCTCTGGGTGGCAGGCACCGCAGCAGACACGCTGAAAACTTCACGGAACAGAAAAGAAATGCTTGCAACTAGTATCTGTTTTGTTAAAAAGAAATAAGCTACATTTAATATATTAGGGACAAACAAATGGAAAATTTGAGCATATACTTTTGTTTCAGGTATGCCAGACTTTAAAAAAAAAAAGATTTAGGTATTTTTATTTGACACAGTTACAGAGGGAGAGAGAGAAAAGAGATCTTCCATTTGCTGATTCATTCCCCAAATGGCTGCAACAGTCAGAGCTGAGTTGATCCGAAGCCAGGGGTTTCTTTTGGGTCTCCCACATGGTAACAGTGGTCCAAGGCCTTGGGGCTACCCTCTGTGCCTCACAGGCTATAGGACATGGAGCAGCCAGGACCCGAAGCAGCGCCCACATGGAATGCTGGTGCCTACTACACCCCGGTGTTGGCCCCCTTCTTAGATTTTTAGTTTGTATTTTGCTCCTTAGAGTGTTTGGATTTTTTTTAAATCTATGGATACTAGATATTATTATCTAGCCCCAAATTCTTCATCAAGATACTGCATTCTAGGATAATTACTCATTTTGTCTAAACAGTATTTATCCCAAGAGTATAAGTTTATTGCAGAAATGAAAAAGACTAATATATAATAACATCTGCAAATGGTGAGAGAAGTGATTGCCCAAATTCCTGAGAAATACTCTTAATTAGAAGATATATTTTTATTTGATTTGGGCAAACAAAGGAGATTAAGTCAAATTCAAAAGATGATACAGTCAAGAAACTGGGTTAGCATGGAGCTAACAAGGAGCTTCAGAAAGTTCATGAAAAACAGAATTAAAAGATGAATTCATTTTGGTGTCTGCCACAAAAAAAAAAAATATGTGGTTTTGTCATGATACATGTTTTCTGTGAATGTCTTGAAGGCTGTACTAATTTTCCAGGGTCACACCGACAGGAATTGTGTTGTGTGGCAGGCACATGACTGCCTTCAGAAAGGCTGTGGTCATTTCTGCTGCCTCCAGTACGGCGGAAGTGCACATTTCCCCTGAACTACCGCACTGAGGTCTGGCAGTGTTCATTTCTTCTCAGAGACAGGGTGCCTCCCGAAGGTCTGAATTTCGGTTGATCACGCCGCTGTGTACATGTCAGTGTGCGGTGCTCTTTTCCTTGGCAGCCTTGCTCAGCATAGTGGAGAAACTTGTCAAGTGAGCCGGGCTCCTGGTGGAGAGCATCCTGTTTAATCTCATCTGCGGGGCATGTTTCATCAGACTTCTCCGAGTGCGGGTCAGGGTGTGCGTCTCAGTGGGCATTGAGCAGGTCAGGGTGTGCGTCTCAATGGGCATCGCGCAGGTCAAGTCTTGCATCACAGTGGGCATTGTGTGGGTCAGGGTGTGCATCACATTGGGCATTGTGCAGGTCACGGAGTGCGTCACAGTGGGCATTGTGCAGGTCAGGGTGTGCGTCACATTGGGCATTGTGCAGGTCATGGAGTGCATCACAGTGGGCATTGTGGGTCAGGGTGTGCATGTCAGTGGGCATCGCGCAGATCAAGGCTTGCATCACAGTGGGCATCATACAGGTCAGGGTGTGCATCACAGTGGGCATTGTGTGAGTCAGGGTGTGCATCACAGTGGGCATCGTGCAGGTCAGGGTGTGCGTCACAGTGGGCATCGTGTGGGTCAGGGTGTGCGTCTCAGTGGGCATTGTGCAGGTCACGGAGTGCGTCACAGTGGGCATTGTGCAGGTCAGGGTGTGCGTCACAGTGGGCATTGTATGGGTCAGGGTGTGTGTCACAGTGGGCATTGTGTGAGTCAGCGTGTGTGTCACAGTGGGCATTGTGTAAGTCAGGGTGTGCGTCTCAGTGGGCATCGCGCAGGTCAGGATGTGCATCACAGTGGGCATCGCGCAGGTCAGGGTGTGCGTCTCAGTGGGCATCGTGTAGGTCAGGGTGTGCGTCTCAGTGGGCCTCTTCTGAGGAGTCTCACTAACAGCACTTTTCTTCCTGGCTGAGTCAGTAAAAAGCAATGAGAAGATAATCATCTGTGAATTTTGAGTCTTCTTTAAAATTATTCATTTCAATCTAATTTTTTTTTTGCTAAGCTAGTCAATGTAATAATCCATTTTTACTTCCTGCTGTTGAAGAAACTTGTTTGTAATAAGTTTAGGGTGAACCTTGTAGTCGTTGGTGACGTGGCTCCCTTGTCCGTGTGGTGTCACACGCTGTCACCTTCGCTGTGCTCCCCCTTCTTGTTTCTCTGCAAGCACAAGTGCGTCTTGGTCCTGGGCTGCCCACTTGTTCTTCCTGCCCAGTGCTTTGGTCTTGGTTCTTCCCTCTTTCGGTGACTTTCTTTCATCAGGCATCCTCTGCTCCACTGTTCATTCTCTTACTTTGAAAATGTGTTTACTTATTTGGAAGACTTACAGAGAGATTTATCCACTGGTTCACTCCCCAGACGGCTTGCAGTGGTCGGGACTGGGCCAAGCCTTAGCCAGGAGCTTCATCTGGGTCTCCCACATGGGTAGCAGGAGCCATCATCTATTGGTTTTCCTAGTCAGTGAAAACCAATGAAATAGAGCAGTCAGGACGAAAACTGGTGCCCATATAGCATACATTGCAGGGTGGGGCTTTGCCCACTGTGCCACAATGTCAGTCCCATTCATTCTTAGAGTCTTCAAGGCATTCTCTGAAGTAACCCTCTGTCATACTGTCCTGTTGACAGCCTTCCAAGCACGTAGGACAATAGGAATGCTTGCTTCCTTATCTTCTCACACCTGCAATAGAAAGCTGGCTAAGGCAGGGCAACTCCCTGACCAGGGAGCCACAGAGGCCCTCGTTGTTCATTGGTTGAATGAGCAGCCAGTTCACATTAAGATTTTGTTTTCACTCTTGAGTTTCCTCACCGAGTCCTGTTTTTCTTTCTGCAGTGGTTTCACATCCTGATACCACGAAAGACCAGTTGTTCTCCCTGGGTGTGGTTCTTCTCATCTGGTCTCTGCTCTTCCAAGTGTGCACCTGTCGTGTTTCTGAACAGATGTTCCTGGTGCATTTGTAATGAGAAGGAAATTAAAAGTAGCATTTCTCTCCATTTATTCATTTCTTCTTTTGAATATTAAATAGGTTTTGTTGGTTTTATTCCAAAAAGGTCCTAATATGATGATTCTGAAGTTTCAGGTTATTAAGTTTTTGTTCCTTGCTATAATCTCAAATATTTATTTGCCATTATATAGCCTTTTTAATTCTTAATGTGTTCATTTACATAAATATATTCTTGCTATAAAAATTGATGCAGTGAGATGATTAAGTAGAATGGAAAAGTCCTCTCTTGTCATTTATTCCTCTGTGTCAGGCACCATTCCCTTCCCTAGAGGTAACCAGCACAAATTGAGAGAGAGACAGAAGCAAAGGGAAAGAACACGTCTGTGGGTTGATTTCCCACGTGTCTGCGGCGCCCTGAGCCTGGTTGGGGACCAGAGCCAGGAACTCAGTGCAGGGCTCCCAAGGGGAGCTCAGAGGCCGTCACTGAGCGGTTACCACGCCTTGCTTGGTCTGCATTGGTAGGAAGTAGCTGGACGTGGCTATCCAACCTGGCCATGCCAACATGGGACACAGGCTTCTGAATTGGCACTAACCAAATGCCCACCTCTCAATATTAAGTTTTTTTTTTTCAAGATTAAAAAAAAATATTTGAAAGACAGAGTGACTTAGAAAGACAGGTGGGGAAATCAAATGTACCATCTACTGGCTTACTCCCTGAATTGCCATGATAGCTGGGGCTGGGCCGTGCTGAAGCCAGGAGCCAGGAGCTCCATCCAGGTTCCTCACAGGGTTGGCTGATGCCCCAACACTTGAGCTGCCATCTGCTGCCCTCCCTGGCACATTAGTAGAAAGCTGGACTGGTATGGGACACTAATTTCACAGGTTGGCTTAACCCTCTGCCCTGTAAGACTGGCACTTCAGTCTTCTAGTGCATGTACACACCAGCTGCACGTAGAACAGACATGGAAAATCGACTTTTGGGGCCAGCACGCTGGTATAGCATGCTAATCGTCTGTCTCTGGTGCCAGCATCCCATATAGGTACCAGTTTGAATCCCGGCTGCTCCACTTGCAACCCAGCTCCATGGCTTGGAAAGGAAGCAGAGGATGGCTCCAGTCCTTAGGCCTTTGCCACCCACATAAGAGATTGGAAAGAAGGTTCTGGCTCCTGGTTTTGGATCAGCTTAGCTCTGGTCAATGTGACCACTTGGGAAATGAACCAGTGAACTGAAGATCTTTCTCTCTGTATCTCTCTTTCTTTTTTTTCCTGTAAATCTGCGTTTCAAATTTTAAAAATGAAAATACATTTTTGAAATTTTATCCTACTTCTCAGCTTTTCTGCATTTGAAAAGTAGAAATTTTTGGGCCCCGGCAGCGTGGCCTAGTGGCCAAAGTCCTCACCTTGAACGCGCCTGGGATCCCATATGGGCACCAGTTCTAATCCCGGCAGCTCCACTTCCCATCCAGCTCCCTGCTTGTGGCCTGGGAAAGCAGTCAAG